ATCGAATGGCTATCATTCTTGTGAGAGAAATGAACACGTAATTGTTTCTTTGACACGAATTATTAGATCGTTCTATTGTAGTCTGACAGTCAATTTGCCAGTTTCTACGCTATATTTATCAGTTTTATTAATTATACATGCATTACTAAGGTTATAGAATGTGGTGGTGTCTTTATATTGTAGCTTAAGAAAGTTTTGAAACGTGAAGCTTTCTTTTCAGGTTGTTAAGGTGGCTGATTTTGGGGTGGCGAGAGTGAAAGCCCAAACTGGAGTTATGACAGCTGAAACTGGGACATATCGGTGGATGGCCCCTGAGGTATTCGTTTCTTTCACTGAAATAGAACCTTCTATTTCTTTAATCTATAGATGTTTATTGCAGATTATAGTTTGAGTAGACCACGTTTATTTTGGTCTCTTGGGGGTATTGGTAGGAGATTTGTGATTATGATTCATTCTGTTGATTTACTGTGGCAGTTCCTCATTATCTATTTAAAAGTTCATCTAGGGGAATTTCAAGTGTGTGTTTAACCTGCAGCACTATATTTTTGCTTCTTAGAAGTTTACTACTGACATCATAATTTATACTTTTGAGTTAAAAAATTTTGAATAAACCGTAATCTGAAGGCGAGGTAGAGAAATGGATTCATTATTTTTAACTGTCTCTTTATGTTTCTACCTTTATACATTTTTTCTATTTTCCTTAATTATTTAGTTTGGTGAGAATTCATTTGGTTAATTTATATCAGCAATGTTCTACTACCGTTTTTCTGATCTAGTTGAAACATTAAATCTTCCTGCATTTGCTAATGAAAGCCTGTTTTCTTTGAAGGTTATAGAGCATAAACCCTATGATCACAAGGCAGATGTCTTCAGTTTTGGGGTTGTATTATGGGAATTGCTGACTGGAAAGGTAATTTTTGTTGTATAAAATGTTGCTGTTAGTGTGTGTGTGTTTGTTTTTTTTTTTTTTTTTAACTTTTAATTGAACTCTCTGGTATTCCGCAGCTTCCGTACGAGTACTTAACCCCCTTACAAGCGGCTGTTGGGGTGGTGCAAAAGGTAAATTATCCAGTTATATGTGATTGCTCACTGGATATCAGTATGGATAATAGTTCACTGCAGCTTCTGTCAGAATGTAATCCAAGGGCCTTTTTGACTTATTTTCAGGGTCTGCGGCCAATTGTTCCAAAGAACACTCATCCAAAGTTTGCTGAGCTACACGAGAGATGCTGGAAGCAAGACCCAACATTGAGGCCTGACTTCTCTGAAATAACAGAAATGTTGCGGCAAATAGCAAAGGAGGTATTATACCCATTTAATTCAGCTTGATTGTCTGTTTATAATATTAATTAATTTAGCTTGCAGTTAAGCTATGCTTGCTTAACCAAAACTTTTAGACTCTACGAAGAACAGCATGATTAACCAACTGTATCCCCGTACTAACCCCCCAAATGCATCCCACCTCCTCCAATCTTGATTTTCTCACCATAATTTTCTCCAAGTACCGCTGCAAATCCATCCTTGATGCAATTATTGCTCATGGTCTCTGAAAGACTAAAGAAATATTTGTTTTAGCTGTTTGTAACTCATTGTGCATTATGATCATTTTTTGCTTAACCAGCAGTTTGACAAGAAAACATAGCACGGCTTGATTAACCAACTCTATTAGTTATCTGGCCTTCATCTCCAGAACCAACCTATTGGCATGTTAGTTGAATGGACTAAATAGCAGTGGTCAACATTAAAGAAGTAAAAGAACATAAAATATTGTCCTTTGTGCTCTCCATCGTAGTGTGACACTACTTACAAAAAACATGTGCGATTTGTTTTCACTTTGCTCGTGTTTGTCCAACTGCTGCAAATCCATCTCTAATGCAATGATTGCCCAGGATTGAAGAGAACATTCAAGTAAAATTTTCGCTTTGCTATTTATTCATCGCATGCATAATTTTCAGGTTGGAGATGATGCAGAGGATAGACGCAAGGAGAAATCATCTGGAGGATTTTTTTCGGCCCTGAGACGTGGACATCACTAATTCGTGAACATCGTAACTTATTTATCTGTTCTTGGTTCATTTATTCTCTTAGTTATGTCTGCTCTGTATAGTATAAGAGGAAATCGTTGATAATTATATTTGGGAGTGACTATATTCCTCGTTTAACTCAAATCTGGAGGAGGGGAAGAAGTTGATGGTTTTGTTATTATTTGTTTTTCATTTTTATCTATTCAATAGAAAATTTTCTCTGGTTTTATAATTTTTACATATTGTCCTAAATTTATAGAAATACCAGAAGGAAAAGGAAATTGACATTAGTTGATAATTTCGTTTTGGATTTAGGTTTCAGTCATTATCTTGAGCAATATTCAATGCTCTTCATGGTCATACAAAAATTACGCTTCTCGCAGAATTACTTCGATTCTTGTACAAAATGGGGCTCAATTTCAACTATAAATCGAATATCAAACACTACAATGAAATCGACTCAAACCCACAACTATGAATCTACTTCTGTTGCCCGCTTTTATGTATTCACAAAGGACACGGTAATGGTGATTATTTGCAGCCACAAAGGAGAAGAAAACAAGAGGAAGCTATTGGTTAAAACTCGTGCACAAAGAGAGAGCAAAGCACTAAAGACAGCCTCACACGGTTTCTTTCACTGCAATAACACACACCCTCACGAAGGACATGATTTCGATGATTATTTGCAGCAACAAAGGAGGAGGAAAATAAGAGGAAGCAATTGATAGTCTCAAGCACAAATGAGAAAAAACACCAAAGACGGCTTTGGCCTCACAATTTTCACTGCAATACAACACACAGCTGAACAAAGACAAAGGAGGCCATTTATAGTTTAGGTATAATCTAACTTCGGCCAACATTCAAGTGGTAAATGGATCATCCACAAGTGATTCGGACTTCCAATGTCCTAAGTTGTTCTTGGGTCGAAGCCATCGCATTGCGTTGTTGATATAATTAAACCAACGCAATTTATCTTCGTCGCCCAGATTTTTTGGATATCAAAACCCATCAATGCTATTTGAGCCTGACTATTTGTCTACTCTTGCATTGTTGTACACTTGTTTGTTGGATAAGTTGCACTTTTGAGCCTTCAAAATCTGGTCCGATTTTGAATATTGATAGAGTTAGGATTCGTGGGCTATTATCTGCTTGATAATTTGAAAATCAAAAGTCTTTTTGCAAAACAATGACTAATATTTTGAGTCACTAATACCTGGTAATATGCTACAGATTTGATGTTCTTATTCATCGTTCTTGAATGATAACGACAGGAGAGGAACTATAAAACTAGAACACTGACAAGCTCTACTTGAAATCTGAAACATTCTACAACGCGACAGCTTTTGATTCTCGCTGTCCGTACCCAAACTGCATTAAGAACACTATATCTTCTGTTTCTAGCATTCTGTGTAGACGAGAAAACAAGATATGCTGTTAACACATTGCAACATTCTCCTAGGTATCAGCTTTTTGCAGAATCATCTGGAGATCCATATTCAGTTGGAGGTAATTTGCATAACCATTCCTTGAAAACTTTTCCTTTTCCAATAAGACATCCAATATTCTTTCGATCAATTCTCATTGGACATTTCAGCCGCAGCATTATCTGTTTTGCCAAACCTTTGACAGGGGATTCACCTCTCACAGCACTGTGTTTTCCAGAGCCGCACACCACCAGAATTTCAGCCGGAGCTACCTGATTTCCAGAAATAAACCTCTGTTGCATCTCGTCCAACCATTGTAAGATAACCAAATATGCACTATTCAAATGCAATCCATGCAAATCCAACTTCAACTCTGAAGACTTCCATTCCATTGCCTGATCCAGAACTGATGACTTGACCAATTCCATCACCAAATCAGCTTCATCATTGTTTAAATTATCCACCAACTCATTGATTGACAATGGAAGATTTTTCAGGTCTTGCACCATTAAGGTAATTTGTGGGCATGAATTCAAGACAGAATTATAAGTTCTAATCGATGGAAAAATTCCTGAGTTTCTCATTTTCTTGAGCCATGAAACCATGTCCGAAAGCTTGTTGTGAGCTCCAAGTGATGAAACTACCATATTACAACTAACTATATCCAATTCAAACCCTTCATTTTCCAATTGAACTATGCTTCTTTTCATGTCTTCGAAAGATCCCAATCTCCCATACCCGTAAATTAGGGACCTAATCTCAAAAAGAGATGGTTTCAGTCCCATGTCTCTCATTTCTTCTATCAAATTCTCAGCTTCATTTGGTAACCCGATTGCACAAAAACCACCAATTATTGATTCATATCCTCTACGCTTCACGTAAACAGATGATGACTGCAAAATGAGCTGCTTTAATTCTTTGCAAGAATCCATAACCTCTCTCTCTGATTTTTGTTTGGCATGTGAATCCACCAAGTTACAATAAAAGTTACATAACTCTCGTTCCTTGAATCCCAATTTTGTAACTGCTTCAGAAAATAAATTTTCTGCCTCATCGAACCTTTCCTGCTTATATAACAAAGCGATCAAGTCTGCCTCTAGCTTAGTGTTCCAACTAAACCATGACTCTTCCTTGATTATAGAGTACAACTGCAGGCACAGGTAAATTGTGATAGTATCTACATAAACTATCAATATAAAAGAAGGAATGGGAAGAAAACATGTTAGCCATCCAACTTACATTTTGATTATGAAGCAATTTTTATTTTGTTCCAAATTAGTCATTGAACTGTCATATTTGTTTGTCTATCTGTATGATATACTTTTAAAAAATGCTGCAGTGACACGAAAAATCTGTTAGTGTATTATGATTACAGTCCAATTGGATAAAAAGTGTCCAATGTCTTGCTAGATTAGTTATCCTTTTGAAATGCTCTTTTACAAGGATTGAGTCATGATCATTTTCATTAATCTAACAAATTTTCCTTTTTATCGGGAAGAATATAAATTTACCGATGTCTGCGAAAATGGTTGGAAGAGCAAAATCTGAAACATATAAATGAGGGAGGGAGAGAGGACTTACAGGGAAGGCGAGAGAGGAGAGGCGGGGGTGGTATGTGGAGGGAGAGAGGAGATGGGATAGAGTATTGAGAGCCACATGCTTGGAAGACGAGGCTACAAATTTGCGGAGTAAGCCAATGGAGGCTGAAGGGTCCTGCGCGGTGGCGATGGAGGAGATAAGGCGGTGGCCCTGTTTGGTGAGCTCACAGAATACTGGCGGCGGTGTCAGTCCAAGGCCACAGTGGCCTCTCATTGGTCGCATTTAGAAAGATGCTTACTGAAACAGACCTTTTAAGAATTTCTTAAATAACTTTTTTACATGTAGATTTCAAAATGTTTACTGCTAAAAGTCCAACAAATATTAAATAAATAAATAAATGATATAATTAAAGGAAAATTTGTAGTAGTGGTTTCTACCCTTTCACTTTTTTACAGACTTTACCCTAATTTTATTTTGTGCAATCCATAGTCCCAAACTTTTCAAAAATATGCATTTGGGATCCGAATGAATGGAAATTGACCTTAGTTGACCAAAAAAAGTGGACTTTGACTAATTTTGACAAAATTAAAAAGGATAAAATAATAACTTTACAATGTACCACATTAAATAATAAATAAATAAACAAAAAATTAGAAAGAAAAATAAAAAAAAGGTCTTTTCTTCCCAAACAAAAGCAATGCTGGCACACTATCGGCACCACCACTGCCTCCTCAACAATGACTAACCACTATACTATTGCCCACCGTCGTTGTTGTCCCAGCCACCTCCGCTATTTTCTCCACTATTAAATGGAAAATCAAAACGACAGTCCAAATCCGTCATCTTTCCCTTGCCTAAATCCACAATTTTACCCAGTAAGCAAAACTTGGCCAAATAATTTTTAGTGCATATATATGAAGATCTCCATGTCCCTCCAAAGACTAAATTAAATGGTTTCAATGTTTCATATTTATCCTGAAATTACCTAGTGCCAAAGTTAATGACACCCATGTACTTCTACCCTAAACACCGAATCCTCTAGATCTTCTCCCTCGAATACGAGCATCTTGTATTGCCTGTGTTTTACTCTAAACTAGCTTAATTTCTCATGACTTCCCACAAATTTTTGAATCGTCTTTTCAATCCTTATTATTTTTTATCAGATTTTGTCAATGAGTTGCTCCATAATTGTCGACATTGCAAATATAATATTTGGGTTGTATAGCAGTGAAAATGATTTTGACTGGTTGGTTTTGGTTTGATTATGATGGTGGTGGTTTATGATACGGCTTGTGTGTGATGTTGGTGGCTATGACCGGCCATTCGACAATGTGTCGACGTTGCTATAGGCTGGGAAGATAAGCCCTTTTTATTTTTATTTTTAATAATTTTTGTTTATATATTTAATGTGGTATTTGTAAAGTTACTATTTAACCCCTTTCATTTTGTCAAAATTAATAAAAGTCCATTTTTCTTGGTCAACTAACAATTTTCCATCCATTTGGACATATTTTTGAAAGGTTTGGGATGTGAGTGATACAAAGTGAAAGTTAAGATAAAGTTTAAAAAAAAATGAATTTTTCCTATAATTAAATGAACTCTATTAATTTAAATAATTAGTCTTTTTAATTTTATTAAAACATTAGTCTCTTAAGATTCATCTTGCTTAAAAAATCTATTGTCAGTAATATTAAACCCATTTTGTGTCATAATCAACATGTCAATGTGCATTGTACGTTATTCTAAAATACTTAAAATGCTATAAAAGTAGTATTTGTTATCAATTTATTTGGAGAATTTGATGAGTCTCAAACGAACTAAAGGAAATAAAAATTAGAATAGAAATTTAAGAGAAGAAAATTATACTCTAAAAACTCAACTTCCATGATTCAAAATTTTTGTGATGGTGAAATGCTACAAGTGAACAATCTTTTTATATTGCAATTGATACATAAGAATTACTCCATCCGTCCCAATTATATAGGCTGTGTTTCCATTTTTTCTTGTCCAAAATATATAGACATATTTCCTGATTTAGAATATTTTATTTTGTTTCTTTACAAATATACCCGTATTCAATTTTCCCCACTTAATATGCAAATTTCTTGAAATCATTCAAATACACACATTTCTCACTTCTTGGGAACATGGAACACTCTAATTTCTTTTTTTTTTTGTCAAATTAAATCGTTCAAATTCTTTACTAATTATAACG